GGGGGCGGCCCCGGGGCGGGGGTCCCGGCCAGGAGTAGAGGGGCGAGGGCCCGCCCGGTGCGACTCCCCCGGCCCGCTACAGTCGGCACACACATCGCTGCTCCGGAGCCGCTTCGACATGGCTCCCGCCTTCACCTGCCGGGAAAGAGGAGCCCCGGAAAAGCGAAGGCAGCGGCGGTGCTTCCGCTCTAACGGGTCCCCGCAGCAGAGCTGGCAGCACAGCCTCTCCCCTAGGCGCCTCGCAGCCGCTGCGCTGCACGCATGCGCGAGGATGTGTCCTGCGACTGGCAGCTCACGTGACCGGAAAGGGCACGTTTCACTGCCGCCATCTTGAGTAAGGGCAGGCGTCTGCTACAGGGTAGTGTCTTATATCTAAATTCTCTTATTTTTAGGTTTCCTTTTAGGAAGAGATCTGCCTCATCCTAGCACTGATTAATAACACAGGAGCAGCAAAATCTTGCACCTGCCACCCCCTGAGGTAAACTATGATTAAATCCTCTATCCAACAAATAGTTATTGAGCATCTACTGTGTTCCACCCTGATCCTCGCTCCGAAGAAACTGCAGGAAGAAAGAGAAAACATTTCTGATTCTTATGGAACTTATAGTTCACCGAGGGTAGTCCACTAATAATCTGGTTTGTTTTGCATGGCCTTTTACTTAACGATTGTTTCCTTTTTTAAAAATAAGAAAAAGAAGATGAGGGAGAGGGAAAGAAAAAAAAAGAGGAACAAGAATATGCAACAAATTTGTATGTAGTCAGCAAAACCTGGCTAAGAAGCCTTCACCGGACCCCTGTTCCTGCAAGAGAATATGCAACAAATTTGTATGTAGTCAGCAAAACCTGGCTAAGAAGATAAATTATAAGACGTGGTAGTATAGACAGCTACGTTAGGTAGAAATATAATCAGACAGGGCTAGGCCCTCAAGGGAGTTAGTGCAGAGAATGAAAACACACTGCAACTGTGGCTGAAACCAGGCCTCAAGATAAAGACAGAATGATTATGCCTATATGCCTCCCCAAGGGATAAGCAATATACTATAAATGGTATCACCTGGTCCAATAAAGCCTAGCTAGACATCAGTCACCCAGATGGGTAACCAGGACCTCCTGACTCATCTTCCTTAACAAGGTCCTTGTTCTTTCCATGTACCCTTGCTGTGTGACCTGCTTCCCCATTGAATCAATATTACCTAAGCTGCTATACTTGTAATCTTATTGGTTTACCATAGTTTTGCTCTATAAAACTTCTGTGAAGTGAGGTCCACAGCTACCCACTTTCGGATCCCCTCCTGTCTCTCAGGAGCTATTTTTCTCAAAAAAATTTTCCTACTCTTAACCTCCGTTGTTGCTTAGAAGTCATTCTTTGATTTGGAGGAACACGAACTTGGTGTATCAGACCTCTAGCGGGTGGGGAATTATGTTATTTTTCCTATATCAGTAGGAGTGTTCCATGGAAAGTCTTCAATAAATAGTAGTTCCTATATTCTTGACATTACTATTATTTTCTAAATACTAGCTTTCTTCACATATCTGGAATTTAAGAATTGCTAAGCTAGAGTAATTTACAGGTTGCTGTGAAATAAACAATGAGATGAGCTTAACCAGCATGAAGGAGAGACAGATGTGAGCCAAATATTAATTAATATTGTATTTATTACATGTAAATACAACTATCATCTCCAACTACCAGATAATGGATACTTACTGTAGGCCAGGTACCATCTTGGTTTTCTAGTGAACAAAGCAATATGGTCACTGATGTCATGGAGTTTTCAGATAATGAGACAAGAGAGGAAAAAGATTAAGTTTAACAAGGCTTCTGAAAGAACGAGAAATCCCAGAAGAGGCCTCAGAAGCACTGGTGGGTCCATCTGCTAGTGTGATAAATGTGCAACATGGGAATAAACACATACTTTCCACACATTCCACAGCGATAGCCTCTGTGTGCCATCCTGGTGTTTCTGCATCCTGTTTTGGTACAACAACTCACAAATCTTCCGGGCTCCACTTCCACACATGTGGAGAATGGATTAGACCAGGATTTTTGAACAGCTGTTGCAAGGCATTTGAAAAGCTGGATATGTGTGAGCAGAGAAGGGAAGGAGAATGTTTTCAGGATGCATTGAATTACTTTGCACAGCTATGTTGTCTGGCTGCAGACCACTGAAGAGAAGTGGTCGAGGAAGCATTCATAATGCCTGAGGTTCAAACCCAAAGGGTAAGCTTTATTTTTGTAGACTGCTCAAATCCAAGTGTCTTAGTGTTTTAGGCATAACTACAAATCCAAATGGCTAGCTTAAAGATGATACCCAAATTGAATAAACCACCAGTCTAGGTAGCTTTGAATCTTAACCCAGTTAGGAATTTAGACAGAAAAGTGGTTTTCAACTGGAAGCGATTTCTCTGGCGGCGAGGTGTGGGGTGGGGTAGGTGGGTGGTGGTCTGACACTGTCTGGAGACTGGGAATGGTACTGGTATCGAGTGGGTATTGAAGCCAGGGACAGGATTGCTGTTCAGCATCTACAAAGCATCAGATATCCTCCACACGAAGAATTATCCAGATGTCTCCAAGGTTGCAAAGTCCTGGCAAAGAACTATTTGTAGCCCCGCATGGTGGTGCACCTCTGTAATTCCAGCACTCAGGAGGCAAAGACAGGAGGATCGCCATAAGTTCAAGGCCAGCCTGAACTACACAGTAAGACCTTGTCTCAAAAAGTAAAACCCCCCAAAATCTATTTGTCTTATTATGCAAATATCTGAAGCCCCTTTTCCAGGATTTAAAGGTCCCCCTGGAAAATTATTGGCCCTGCCCACTTCCAAAATGGCTTCTGACCAATCGTGGCAGGATCTGCCCTAGTCCAAAAAGGCTGCAAGGGAGTCAGTAGCCGGAATGGTTTGGTCCAGACCCTTGTCACGCTCCACCCCTACTTCAGGGACAATGGTAGAGGCTCAGTTGTGGACCGAACCATCTGAGGTAGATGGAGCAGGGAGAGTGAGGTTGGTGATTTGTAGATCAAGCTTTTCACGTTGAGGTCTGGGGCCAAAGAGTAGAACCATCGCTCTATTTTATAGGCTTCGATATGTTTTCTGTTGTGATGTTGGATGCGGATGGCACTGGACGGACTTTTGACCCACTGCTTAGCTTTGTCCGCCCCTCCAGGAACATGTGGTGGTTTGCTCCCCTCACTTCCCTGTTTGGGGCACTTGGGCCCGTAGAAGGCGGTTGGGGAGCTGTCAGCGGGGCGGCTAGGGTGAACGCGAACGCGTCTGGGCGCGGGGTGGGCGCGGTCGACCTGGTCCCCGACCCGGCCCGCGACCCCATACCTTGCATGCACCCACACGCGGCCCCCTCAGCTGCCCGGTAGCGAACCACGCCGCTCGCTTGTCTGCCAGCTTCCTTCGTCTTTTCCCTCCGCCGGCCACGGAGACCCTGCTGGGGCTGAGGCTTCTGGGACTCAGGTGGCCAGGGCTGGCCTCGACCTCTTCGCCATGTCCTCGGCGCGCGACGCCAGCAGCCACTTTCCCCTGCACCTGCTGGTCTGGAATAACGACTACCGGCAGCTGGAGAAGGTGCTGCGCGGCCAGGTGAGGTGCGGGCAGAGGGAATCACGGAGGCCCTTTCGTGTCCCTGAGCCCATTTCCAAGGCTCTGCTCTGGGGCCCCAGTTAACCCTTTGGCTCGAGAGCTCTCGATGTCGGGCCCTGTTCCGAGGGCTTTTTGTGTGTCGACCCGTTAACCTTTCCTTTATTACAAGGAGGCCGGTACTATTATTCCATTTGGCAGAGAAGGAAACTGAGGCTCTCAGATGGTCACTTGCCTTGTGGGTAGTTAATACCACGATGGGAATTTTAAGTCAGGCAGGCCAGCTCTTTTTGCACAGTCTTAACCATTGTTAAGCTCCACCACCTCAAAGACAAGGCCAACACACACCCCTCTGCTCCACCCACCCTTGATGTGAAGAAAGGCTTGGTCGGTTTTAGAACCCGCGTTCTAACTTCCCTGTGACCTTGGGTAAGACATTTTGGTTCTGGGGCCCTGTTAACCTATCCGTGGAATGAGGATGTTGGTAGTGATGTGGGTAAACCCAGCACAATATTTGACTGCATTAACAGATCTGAGTTGAGGCCTAGGAATCCGCATTTAACAAGCTCCCCAGGGAGGCTGATGGTACATGATAAAGTTTAAGAATTGCCGATGCGCTGCACAAGCTCTTTAAAAACCTCTTCCTATCCTAAAGCTGTTTGATTCATCGGTCTTTTATTTATTACCATCTCTTTTATATAGTGGTTCTCGACTGGATGTGCCCTCCCCTTAGCAATGTATGGAGGCATTTTTGGTTTGGGGAGTGGGTGCTCCTGGGCATCTAGTGGGTGGAGGCCAGGGATGCAGCTTGACATTCTGTGATAGATGAAGCAGCCACCCACAACAAAGAAATATTTGGCTCCAAATGTCATAGTGTCTTGGTTGAAAAACGTTGCTTGAAAGACATCCCAGTAATTCTAGGAAGTATTGATGCCCTCAAGTTACAAACTTAACAGATTTAGCAAATAGGGTAGGGATTTGTAATTATTCTTCAAGTCTAGTCTAATTGTATGGTTGGCTTCATTTTATTCAGTATGTTAAAGACTATTTTTAAATAGCTCAAAATTGACTCTGTACTTGTCAAGAAATATCGGAGGAAACGGAGCATTGGTTCTCTTTTTAGTTGGCAAAAATTGAGGAAGGTCAGCATCACAGTGTTTGAACAGTTACTGCTAAATGCTTGCAACCTGCCATATTTAGGTTGGTTGAAGATCTACTGGAAGTCAGAAATCTTTTCTTATTTCAAAAGGAACCTCCGACAACAGTTTTTTAGTGTCATTGCTCTTAATTAGCTGGTGTGTAATTATTTAAAAGTTAAGGAAATATGAGACCTGACCCAGACAAAATGATTCACCATTAAGTATCACAGTATACCTGATGACTTAATCCTCTATTACGAGACATGGCTCTACCATTTTACTCTTAGCTCTATTGGTAGGTCTCACATAGGACATTTTTTAATGACCAGTTCTGTTTTGTAGGGTTCTTGTCTGCTATTTGCTTCTGTATTTCTCAGTGATGTGGCTGACTAGTTTGTGCAATGTTGAGAGAAAATAGAAAGTCATAGAGTTAAAATCCTCTTTGATATAAAGATTCATCATTAAACCATATTCTTTCTATCCCAGTTTATGAAAACAGTGGGCTTTCTATTCATTGGAGATAAAGAGTTTAAATGTTTGATAAGAAAAGTACAAACAGAGTCTTGGTTTATAATCCAAAGTGTGACATAATTCTCTCTTTTTCTTGTGACCTGTGATAAAGGTATCCATTGAACATTCTTGGTGCTTTTTACCTGGAAGAATTTAAGGACATTTGTGATTAAAATTTGGGTGTTAACATCTTGTAGCAGACTTTTCTGGAATGTATTTTAGATCCTTAATGCCCTTGACTGTCAAGGAGTTTGAGGCTTGAGGAAGTATACTTGCTGGTTGTTTGGTTTTGACTTAATCAGTTACTGCTGTGGATCATTTCATAGCACTGTATACCATGTACCTCTGGGGAGGAGACAGGTGACCTGTATTCATAAAAACATCTGAGGAAGTTTGAAACTTGGCCATTGACGAGGCCCAGACCTGCCACTTATACAGGACCCTGTGTTTAGTTGATGCTCTTTTCTCATCATATTTAAATTCTTAACTTTTTTAATATGGAGCACTTTATTTATTTTTGCTAGTCCCTCCAAATTATGTAAATCTTCCAGGGTCATGAAGGTGATACTTGACATCGTTAAAATATTAAAGTACATTAAAATATATAGCAGGAAATGTGTTGTTGTTTTTGTGTGCATCTAGATCCTCTTTTGGACGTGTCTGCAACCCAGAGGCAATGAGGTTTATTGGCCAGCACTAAGGCTGATTTAAGTTGTGAGGTTTGGCATGCGCCTACCCTTGATGAATTGCTTCATCACCTGTGAAACTGGGGCGAGTAACACTAGACTAAACCTTACTCTCATGAAGGATAGTGCTAATGTATTTTACGTTGCAGTTTTAGATTTAATGTTCACACCTCTCTTCTGGGGAGGTTGCTGCTGGAATTCTATCGTATAGATGAGAAAACCCACATGAAGAGAGAAGCTCAGTTGCATGCTAAATTAGTGTGCGAGCTGTGATTTGAACCCAGAAACTCGGACTCCATCCAAATTCTGTATTATTCTTCTTTAGGATTGCTGTTTGTTTTGGTACAGGGAATTGAACTCAGGACCTTGCACTTGAGGTGACACTGAGCTAAATCCCCGGCCCTTGTTTTGGTTTGTCTGTTTGTTTGTTTGTTTTTCTGAGACAGGGTCTTTATGTAGTTCAGGCTGTCCTTGAACTCACCATGTAGTCCAGAATACGCACTGTGGAGCTCCTTCCTCTGCCACCCAAGTGCTGGGATCGCAGACATGTGCCACCACGCCTGGCCTCCAATGCAAAATTCTTAACCTCTCTGCTCTTACTTTGGTGAAAATGTCTCCATTTCAGGATTGTGAAGAGTACAGGAAGACAATGGATCTGAAAGTACCATTGCCTAATACCATTCACCAATAGTTCCTGCTGTTTTTATTATGATCATGATTTATAAAGCTGGGGATTTAACTTCTTTTATGTGTGTTCCAGTTTTTCTATAGGGAATGTGTATTGGTTGCATAATTAAGAAAAAAAATGCTGTAACTTCAGCAATAAAGCTAGCTGTTTCCCATAATGTTTTCTTTGCCAGTGAGTTTCTGCTGTCTACTTCATCCTTTTATCACACACGTGAGACTTGAAGCAGGCACACTGGTAGCTGTAAGAATTTAATTTTAATTTTGCTCCAGGAACTGCTATAGCACAAGAAGAATTGAATTTATCCAGACAAATGGGATAAGCCATGTTTCAGCCCCAACCCCAGGCTTGCTCATAGCCAGCACTGGTGTACCTCTGCCAACTGTGAGATTGTTTCAGGCCTGTAACACTTAACCCAGGAGAAGCACTTAAGAAAGTGCCTCTTAACCCATCAGCCTTTTAATGTTCAGCGGGGCTTTGAAGTTGTCGAAGCTGAAACTATTTGTGTTATGTCGTTTTGTTAGGTCTGGTAAAGTCCTTTGGCCTTCTTAATGATGTGGGGGAAATGAATGAACATTTAAGGGGCACATGCAAAGATGGATCCATGCATCTTAGACAGCTCAGAGAAAATTCTCAGACCAAGTGGGGTGGAGGTGGCAAATGAGCCCTAACTAGACCTTCAATGGTGAACCTTTTAGAGCTTCAAATGATACAAACAGCATGCTGTGGGACGCGTGCCATGGGGTTGTCACTGCTAATCTAGACACACATTCCCTCCTTAAAGCCAGCAGGTAAAAGCACATCATCTAGGCAAGAGGATGAAGACGTTCCAAGAAGTAGCAATACCTGGAGCCTGACAGGGAACCACCTTGGGGTTCTACTGTAAGTTGCAGAAGGCCAGATGAGGCCCCTGGGCACACATTCAAGTTGGTGCCCGTTTGCTGGGAGCCAGTTGTGAGCCATTCAAGATGACACACCCAGAGGCTACTCTCAGGGTAGGACTTGGCCTGGTCTTTGGGAAACTGGTCTATAGGAACCTTTCCCCACTGACTTGAGGTAAAGGCACAGCCACGGAGGGCCAGGTTCCTCTGATAGTGAAGAGGAGTGAGAGTGTTAATTCCGTGGAGAAAAAGGAGGGGCTTCTCAGCAGTCTCCTGTAGGGGCCCCCAGAGGTAACAGTGATAGTTTACAAAGCACTTAATATGTGTTTCCTGAGGCTGGTGAGGAAGCTGGAAATGGGACCTGCATTGTTTGGCTGTGCAGCTGCCCTCAGAGCTCAGCCATTTATTGTCTGCAGAGGACAGCAGGTGGTAAATAGGTTTTTGAGCAAAAAAAGTAAATAATCTTAGGTTAGCAAGCAGGAAGGAAATGTGGGGAAACCTCACTCCTTGATGTCTTTTGAGACATTCATAGTTAAAAGGGAAGGGTATTTTTAATTTGGTACAGCACATTGCTGAAGAAGCATAAAGGAAAAACCTAAATGATTAACTCCAAAAATTGCAGTTAAATTTTGAAAGCCTGGACCCCCTTAACTAATAGCATTTGATGAAGTTAAGTCCCACTAGTAACTGTAATGAGCCGGGCATGGTGGCACATGCCTATAATCCCAGAACTCAGGAGGCTGAGGCAGGAGATTCTCTGTGAGTTTGAGACCAGCCTGGGCTACATAGTGAGTTCCAGGGCAGTCTCAACTACATAGTGAGACCCTGTCTCAAAAAAACCAAACAAACAAAAAAACTAACTGTAAAGTAAGATTTTTTTTGTGCCAAGTTCAGGCCTTACACTTAGAACAACTAACTGTAAAGTAAGGGGTTTTTTTTTGTGTGTGTGTGTGGCACTGGGGATTGAACTCAGGACCTGTGAGGTAGGCACGGTGCCATTAAGCTAAAACCCCAGCCCAAAGTAAGGTGTTTATCGTTCCCACTTTATAAGCAAGCAAGATGAAGTTCAAGAGAAATTAAGCAACTTGTCAAAGGGTAGAAC